TGTTTTAGTCTAGATTACATAATGATATGAAAAACTAACCGGACTTTGGATCCCGTCATTTGACCTAGTCATTTGATCGTTAGCGATTTCACAAGTTCAATTTGTTTTCTAATCGTTATGTAAATTTAGCATTTTTGTTTTTTGTTTTTGTTTTTTTTTTTTTTTTTTTTTTTTAGTCTAGATTTACAAAACGATATGAAAAACTAATCGGACTTTGGATCCCGTCATATGACCTAGTCATTTGATCGTTAGCGATTTCACAAGTTCAATTTGTTTTCTAATCGTTATGTAAATTTAGCATTTTTTTTTTTTGTTTTTTTTTTGTTTTAGTCTAGATTTACATAATGATATGAAAAATTAACCGGACTTTGGATCCCATCATTTGAACTACTCATTTGATCGTTAGCGATTTCACAAGTTCAATTTGTTTTCTAATCGTTATGTAAATTTAGCATTTTTGTTTTTTTTTGTTTTTTTTTGTTTTTTTTTGTTTTAGTCTAGATTTACATAATGATATGAAAAAATTAACCGGACTTTGGATCCTGTCATTTGACTTAGTCATTTGATCGTTAGCGATTTCACAAGTTCAATTTGTTTTCTAATCGTTATGTAAATTTAGCATTTTTGTTTTTTTTAAAAGACTAGAATTACAAAACGATATGAAAACTAACCGGACTTTGGATCCCGTCATTTGACCTAGTCATTTGATCGTTAGCGATTTCACAAGTTCAATTTGTTTTCTAATCGTTATGTATATTTATCATTTTTTTTTTGTTTTTGTTTTGTTTTAGACTAGAATTACAAAACGATATGAAAACTAACCGGACTTTGGATCCCGTCATTTGACCTATCATTTGACCTAGTCATTTGATCGTTAGCAATTTCACAAGTTTAATTTGTTTTCTAATCGTTATGTAAATTTAGCATTTTTTTTGTTTCTTTTTTGTTTTAGACTAGAATTACAAAACGATATGAAAAACTAACCGGATTTTGGATTCCGTCATTTGATCGTTAGCGATTTCACAAGTTCAATTTGTTTTTTAATCTTTATGTAAATTTAGCATTTTTGTTTTTTTTGGACTTTGGATCCCGTCATTTGACCTAGTCTTTTGGTCGTTAGAGATTTCACAAGTTCAATTTGTTTTCTCACCACTATATAGTTTTAGTATTCAATTTTTTTTTTGATTTTTTTTCTTCTCTATGGATTTCATATAAGTTTATTTTTTGGTATTTCGTTTTGATGAAAATGAAATTAAACTTGTAATCACGTCTCAAAGAAACAGAGCCCTTAACCTCCTTAAGAAGTCTTTTGAAATAAGAACAGAGTAGCTAGAAATACCAAACCCTGTGTGTGTTTTCATGTGTGTCATTAGCGACCTATTCAATGCTTTCATGAGATAAGCAACTATGGAACATTAACAAAAATACTTATATATTTTCATAAACCAAACATAAAAGCTTCATCTCAAAGACGAAACACCTTTAAACTTCTCAACATTTCACTTTCTTGAAGAGGAAGAATCTAACTCTTTAGTCATATCAGATAATAACGTTTCAGGCTCGCTCCCACTTTGGATTGATAGAATGTCAGGCCTTGAGTATCTTATTCTTAATTTTATTATTTCTTATATATTTTTTTCATACATGAGGGGAAATCTGCTCAACGGTCATTTGCACCCAGTTGACCCGCACAATAAAATAATTATTTATTTTACCATTTCATTGAAAATGAGATCGAAGATACGAGTTTAAATGTTCATTTTTAATTTATAAATGCATCAGTACGTATTATTTATTAAAGGGTTTTATTGTTTACATAAATAGATGACAATACTTAAGAGAAAATGAGTAAATTAAAAATATTAAGTATCCCAAAACATGTTATCTTTTTCGTAACAATAATATTTTTATTTTTTTTAACCTCTCCGTCCTCCTCCACGCCTCCCTGGTGGATTGTGTCTGGCGTTGGCCGATGGCCCGTCGTAGTCGTTGGTGCTCACCATCAATGATCTACCTTTCACCATCATCATCTTTTCATTTTCTGTTATACATGCAGTCAGGGCCGGCCCAAACTATTTGAGTGCCTAAAGCAAAAAAAAATTTGGCCCATTAACAAAAGCTGTTATAAAAAAAAAAATACAAGTTTTAACATGTATGGGATTCGAAACCGTGACCTGTACAACAAAAGACTTCAATCTAACCACTAGACCACAGTAACATTTTAAAAATTGATGCCCCTAAAACTACTTATAATTATTTGATGCCTAAAGCCCTTGCTTCATGGGCTTTACCCATGGGCCGGCCCTGGTAGAAACTCAAAGTCATCAGATCTTGACCTCTATGTGAAAGGCGTCCATTTTCATCTTCACAAAGTAAGCTTTTGAATCCGATTTCGCTGAGATTCGTCTCTTTTTGGAGTTTCTTCTGATTTTGAGGGTTTTGATTTTTGGTGTTGGTGTTTGTGTAACGCCTCGACCGTCCCTACCAGCGGGCCTCACGTCCTCTCTTGGGTCCTGTCCGACGGCCAGTCCGCTACGTCCGGGAGGCTTTAAAGACTTGTTTACCGATCCTACAAATCACCACATGATCTTTCCCTGTGTTTTGTCCTCACTCACACAGTTCCGACAATCACTTCCCGGAAGGTCACCCATCCTGAAACTACTCCAGCCCAAGCACGTTTAACTGTGGAGTTCTCTCAGGACAATTGACCGAAAAAATAAGTGCACTTTGGTGATATAGGTGGCCAAATCAATTCTTTTAAACCTCTCTGCATGCACCACCACATTCCTGAAACCGGGGTGTTACAGTTTGTCTAAGAGACTTTAGCTAAGAGATCGGCGAAAGTGACGACGTTTCTCGAGTGTAACAAGCTCCATGAACAAATCATGATTGCTTGTGTTTAAGCTTGAAGAAATGTTTGTTCATGAAGTTTTCATTGGGCAGATCAAAGAACAAATGGATGCATAGTCGGTTTCATCTAATATTATCTACTATACATTTCATCTTTTTTGGGTCTTCAGGTGGTCTTGAAACCAACAAATTCAATTTCCACAGAACAAATCCATCTTTCAAGACATGCCTGCCTCTGTATGTGCGTTTGACAAAACATATGAGTTGTCTTTGTTTTGTTCTTAATAATATCACAGATAGAGATAACTCTTATTTTTATTCCTTACACTAATCTGACACAAGTTAACTTAATAAGAAAAGTATTTGTTTACTCTAAATTATCTGTTAAACACAAAGGTTAGTCATTTCAGCCTTCAAGTTCAAGTAGATCCAGATCAGAGTTTTGTAGCGTCTCTTAAACCTCAAACTATCTCAAAAGTCAACTCTTTTGTATTGATCACATGATGATACCATATCTTTAGGGTTAAGCTATAAACACTGGTACATAAACCATCTATTATATATATGTCTCTCCAGAACCTCAAAAGAGAAGGAAGAAGTCAAAGGGATCTGTTAGAACCAAGAACCTCACGGTGAATATGAAGTTGTTTGATGCTCATTGCCACCTTCAAGACAAGAGGGTCATCGACAAAGCCTCTCAGCTCATATCTGCTGCTTTAGCTGTCGGTGTTACCAATTTCGCTGTCAATGGAACCTCCGAGGTATTTTCCCAAATTGTCCTGATCGTTTGGTCACTATTATCTACTAAACTCATGTATACATATTTTAAACGGGTTTTGTTTATGGAGACAGAAAGATTGGGACTTGGTGAAAGAGATGGGAGAGACGTATCTTTCCGTTGTTCCTTGCTTTGGACTTCATCCTTGGTATGGATTATATATGTAGATGATTTCCATTTGTTGCAAAAAGTTTCAGATCAAAGTTTATTCCTTTTCTTTTCTCTGTGTTTGGTTTGCAGGTTTATTGCTGATAGAAGCCCTCATTGGTTTAACACATTGAAGAAGTTCTTTGAGACCACTCCTACTGCTGCTGTTGGAGAAGTTAGTGTCTTTATCTCTTATTCATTTAAACTAGAATCTATGTCTTTAGTTATTTAATTTAGAATTCGATGTTTACTTTGTTGGTTCAAGATTAAGTATAAACCGCAAAATGATTTGTTGTAATGTATGGTATTTTAGAATGTATTGAAACCCCTTTTGGCTGAGATCTCATCATATTAACATGTAAATAAAATTTTATGTGCTTTTTGCAGATTGGTTTGGACAAAGGTCCCTTAGCAGGAGGAATTGATTACTCAGACCAGCTTGTCGTGTTTCGCCCACAGCTTGAACTTGCAAAGGAACTGAACAAACCAGTAGCAGTTCATTGCATCGATGCATTCGATGATCTCCTAGAGATAATGAGGTATGTATAAATACATATCTACATGTTGCATTTACAAAGATATTGCACTAAGTTTCTCGAAATAAATACATGCAGATCCGTAGGGCCTTTTCCTGCTGGTGTGATTCTTCATTCATTCAATGGTTCAGCTGAAGTTGTTCCTAAACTCGCTGAGCTTGGTGCATACTTCTCTTTTTCTGGCTGGTTCACTTATATTGATGAGAAAATTGCCAAAAAGACTTTGAAATCGGTTTGTTTTTTTTTTTCCCTCTGTAACTATACAACTTCTGGAAGTATTTGAATTTTTTTATTTTTTAACCTTTTTACCGGGTCTGGTGTAGATTCCTTCCGATAGGTTCTTATTGGAGACGGATTCACCTGACGGGTTACCAAAATCAGATGAGAGTTCTTCGGATCCAAAACCAACTCTCAATGAGCCTGCAAACATTCTTGCTGTATGTTATTATTGTCAGTTTTACTTTTTTCTTGTTTCTGCTGATTAGATTACACATTACTTGTCTGATATTTTCCGTGATGAACAGGTACTAGATTATGTTGCAAACCTGTCAAACATGAAGAAGGAAGAGCTTGCGGAGTTAAGTTATGTGAATTCTGTGAGGTTGTTTTCTTATCCAGGTTCTAAATTGCTTACATACCAGTAAAAATGGCGTCTCTCTACAGAATTGTAACATCATCTCTGATCAAAGAGACAAATAAAATCATCTTCTGCTTCTGCTGTTGTGTGTTATTATTTGTTTGTTCGTTGATGTGTTTGTGACAAAACTCAATTCAATACCAAAATCGTCTCTCTTAATTGTTGTTTATGTTGCTTACTTGGTAGAAGTTGTAACTATGTATCGTTTTCTTATTGTCTTGTGTAAACCATAATATCATAACAGTATTCCCTTTCTGAAGAGAGATTTGTTTTGCATAATTGTGTGATTTACATAAAAACAGATCAACAGAAGAACAGAACTAAACACTAACACTCTAAACACGACCACCTCTCCAACGTGAGACATCAAACGCCACACACACACACAATCTCGTATAAGAAGAAACAATGCCAATCATTCCACTGCATTTTTAGTTACCAAAAACTCTTTTCCTCTCTGCTTCTTCTCTGCATAACTTGCTTATAAATTATAATCCTCAAAAACAAAACGCCTACCAGTGCCACCAAAAACATTCCCGGTAAGTTTCCCTCCGACAGTTAATGGCTCTTTCCGGAAGATACAAAGACTTGCAGACTTCATACTAACATCAAAGAAGACAATGATGTGGTTTGCATATCGAAACCTCTGAGGGAACTGATTATACATAGCCACGGAGTTGTAGACGTAATGGTCAGAATCAAGATTGGGGATATGATAGCGTTGCGCTGGTTCTAACCAAAGCATTCATTCATGGCTCCTGCTTTCTTGTTGTGATCTCAGAACCATGCGGCTTCTCTCTCGACGCATAGACCAGCATTGGTAGCCTGATGATGTCAACGTGTGCTGTATCAATCAAGTCCTCAGAATCTGGCTTATGCTCCACAAACTAGTTCTGAATTTGGAGGAGCCAGCCAACATTTCCTGTAGCAACCACCACAACATGTTAGGAGCAGACATTGTTATGTATACAAACAAACCTGATCTTAAAAGAAAACATATAACCGTCTCTCATAATCCATCTGATTCTTCTTAGATAAACATCTCTTTATGATGGCCTCAGGCAATTAGGTTGATATTCTTACACATTAAACTCATCATCATTCATGTTAGGAGCATACATTGTTTTGTATACAAACAAACCATTTAGAATAAAAGTAGGAATGGAGTTGAAATTCTTCACCTTATTAAATCGATCATCATTCATCATGTTCTCTCTTACCATTTTGAGAGCAAAAAAACGTTGATTCTTTGTAAACATTATACCAAAACGAAATTTCCTTTTTGGTTAGATTGAGATTAGTAAATGGAAATCGGATCTAATTTAGATTTCCTCTATAATACTGAAAAATCCCAACGGTTAGATTAATAAAAGTATATAAATAATCCCAACGGTTAGATTAATAAGCAAAGTTTGTGATACTCCTCAACCTTCAACAAAAAAAAAAAAGGAAATTTCCTTATTCCTAAACCAATTTCCTTTTCTTTTGTGGTTTTGATAGCTTATAAATACAGTCTCACGAATTCTTCTCTTCTTCATTCTTGAGAAATCAAAATTCCCTATTCATCTTCTTCATCTTCTTGTTCGTGATAAAAAAAAAATCTATCATCTATTTCTTTTTTTTAATTACCTGTTCGCCGGATGATGGATGATCTCAGTTTCATCTTCAAACTGAAGTAAGCCGTGAGTTCAATCGAGTCCATCATCTCAGATTCGTCTCCCACATCCGCCAATCGAGGATGATTTCAGAACCTGATTTCACCGGCGGAGAAGGAAGAGATCGGAAGCAGTGAAAGCGAGGAGCACCTAAGAAGGTTTTTGATTAGACTCTAACATCAGGAAGAAAGAAGACTGCTCTTTATGAGAATAAAACACAGTCAACGAAGACGTACAAAGAGATGAGAGTGAAGAAGACGCTCAAATTTTTCTCAGATTTTTCCAAGTACCAGACAATTACACGGTGAGCTTCGAATGGGCTTTTTTGTATGGGGCTTCTTTGCTACCAAATCCAATAAGGTATTACTTTCTTCATTCTTATTTTTTTTCTTTTCATTAAAAATTATTTTAAGTAAAACTAAAATAAATTAGTTTAAAACCTTCACTAATACATTTAACTAAACAAAACTTTTTAAAAATTTGGAAAAATTAAAAAAAATTAAAACTTAAAATTTTAAGAAAATAATGTTTTAAACTAAAAACTATGTTAATTTCACTATTATTTTTTAAAAATTAGTTTAGGTGTTAAATTTTAAAAACGTCGAAAACTAACCGCGCCTAGGCATCCTGTCCTTAATTGGTCCGTAAGCTTTGGTGTTCGAAGTTCGGCAATGTTTTCACGTAATATAGATTTAACACTTAAACTCATTTTTACAAAATAATAGTGATTTTGACTAAAATTTAAAACAAATTTAACCCTTAAACTTTAAGAAAATAATGTTTTTAAAACTAAAACCATGTTAATTTCACTTAAATTTTTTAAAAGTTAGTTTAAGTGTTAAATTCTAAAAACGTCGAAAACTAACCGCGCCTAGGCATCCTGTCCTTAATTGGTCCGGAAGCTTTGGTGTTCGAAGTTCGGCAATGTTTTCACGTAATATAGATTTAACACTTAAACTCATTTTTACAAAATAATAGTGATTTTGACTAAAATTTAAAACAAATTTAACACTTAAACTTTAAGAAAATAATGTTTTTAAAACTAAAACAAAACTTTTTAAAAATTTGGAAAAATTAAAAAATAGTTTAAGTGTTAAATTCTAAAAACGTCGAAAACTAACCGCGCCTAGGCATCCTGTCCTTAATTGGTCCGTAAGCTTTGGTGTTCGAAGTTCGGCAATGTTTTCACGTAATATAGATTTAACACTTAAACTCATTTTTACAAAATAATAGTGATTTTGACTAAAATTTAAAACAAATTTAACCCTTAAACTTTAAGAAAATAATGTTTTTAAAACTAAAACCATGTTAATTTCACTTAAATTTTTTAAAAGTTAGTTTAAGTGTTAAATTCTAAAAACGTCGAAAACTAACCGCGCCTAGGCATCCTGTCCTTAATTGGTCCGTAAGCTTTGGTGTTCGAAGTTCGGCAATGTTTTCACGTAATATAGATTTAACACTTAAACTCATTTTTACAAAATAATAGTGATTTTGACTAAAATTTAAAACAAATTTAACCCTTAAACTTTAAGAAAATAATGTTTTTAAAACTAAAACAAAACTTTTTAAAAATTTGGAAAAACTAAAAAAAATTTAAAACTTAAAATTTTAAGAAAATAATGTTTTAAACTAAAAACTATGTTAATTTCACTATTATTTTTTAAAAATTAGTTTAGGTGTTAAATTTTAAAAACAACGAAAACTAACCGCGCCTAGGCATCCTGTCCTTAATTGGTCCGTAAGCTTTGGTGTTCGAAGTTCGGCAATGTTTTCACGTAATATAGATTTAACACTTAAACTCATTTTTACAAAATAATAGTGATTTTGACTAAAATTTTAAACAAATTTAACCCTTAAACTTTAAGAAAATAATGTTTTTAAAACTAAAACCATGTTAATTTCACTTAAATTTTTTAAAAGTTAGTTTAAGTGTTAAATTCTAAAAACGTTGAAAACTAACCGCGCCTAGGCATCCTGTCCTTAATTTGTCCGTAAGCTTTGGTGTTCGAAGTTCGGCAATGTTTTCACGTAATATAGATTTAACACTTAAACTCATTTTTACAAAATAATAGTGATTTTGACTAAAATTTAAAACAAATTTAACCCTTAAACTTTAAGAAAATAATGTTTTTAAAACTAAAACAAAACTTTTTAAAAATTTGGAAAAATTAAAAAAAAATTAAAACTTAAAATTTTAAGAAAATAATGTTTAAAACTAAAAACTATGTTAATTTCACTATTATTTTTTAAAAATTAGTTTAGGTGTTAAATTTTAAAAACGTCGAAAACTAACCGCGCCTAGGCATCCTGTCCTTAATTGGTCTGTAAGGTTTGGTGTTCGAAGTTCGGCAATGTTTTCACATCATGACATCTTTAACCACTTAAACTC